AGATAAAGCAGGGTATAAATAAATACTATAACAATAATAGTAATAGTAATAGTAATAGTAATAATAATAATAATAATAATAATAATAATGATGATGATGATGTATGATTAACTATAGCCACTTTGGATTTCAAAGGTAAAGATAAGAAGACTACATACAAGATCATTTGGAGTATAAGTGTAAAATTCAGTTGCATGACTGTTCTCGTGTTGGAGGAACTGTTGAATTTTTCATCTTCAAGACTGCATATTTTGCTCAGAGTTTGAAAATAACTTGTTGATTAGCTTCTTAAATTCATTATTTTCCTAGTAATTTCACCTAACTTTCTAGATTCCTCAATTAACATTGAAGTAAAAATGTGCTGTAGTTAATTACGTTGTGAAGATTCATTAGAATTTGTTTTGCTCATGCAGTAGTCCAATCTTTTGTTTATTAAATTTTAGTTTAGTTTATTCTTTTAAAATTGGTTCACTTGCAGAGAAGAAATGTGTTGAATACTCAGTTTTCATCACAGTAGGGTCTGAAAACCTCTTTAATGCAGCCCTCTTGTCATGAAAATATCGGTCAACTTACAAGTAAAGGCTTGACTGAAATTAGGTTTTGTAACTATAAGCTACCTTAATTACAACTATGGGACTGAAATTGGTTTAACAAAAATAGAGATTGGGAAAAATGAATGGCTTTATGAATTAATTTAGGAAGTTTTAAATATAATTTAAGGTATACTAAATATAGCACTTATTCCAGTTTGACTGCTATGGCAGCATTTTGTGGAATCCTGTGGTTTGTAGTTTATTAAGACCTGAGAACCTGCTGGCTGATAATTCTAAATGCCATTTCATAAACTTAAAGATTCCAGACATAGTAGTTAAAGTGGAATAATAATTATACAAAGTGTAATGTGATAGGACCTTGTGTAAAATAAAAATTCTAGTAACTATCACTTGGACTAGAAAACTCTTAATTAAATTCTTAACAATCTAAGCACATTTTCTGCCCATTGGGTTAAACCTGAAATACTACAATTAAATGTTCAGGTATTTAAAGTGCAATCAGAACAAGTTATTGTCAAAATGCACAATATTAAATTAAACCAATTGTGGCATTTTCTTAAAATTATTTCTGTATTAACATCTGTGCTAACATCAGTTCTCTAGATTGCAACACAAGCCAGTGATTGTACAATAGCGGTGGCCATTTTCATTACAAAACCCACAGTTCAAACAAGTAGAAAGTTTTCTGAAAATTCACGTGCCATTTCAATAAGATATTCAATATTTCCATATTCTTAGCACTCCCTTTACCTTCCTTGGGGCATGTCTCTTTGTTTTTCAAGAACAAAGTATTCCATGGCACTCTTTGGTCTTGCATCCTTATAAATTGTTTGCCTGCTGACTCAAATGGTGTATAATGAGATATTTCAGTCTCTGTGTCACTTCACTATCTGATTTAATACTGACATTGCTTGAAATTGTGATTTTTTTGGTAGCTTTTGTTTCCTTTCTTTGAATGTTTTCCTGTTTAATATTTTAATTAACCCTTTAAATTATTTTTCCAAAACCAGGAAAAAAACCTTTTCAAGCATCTGATTTGCTGAACCTTAAAAAAAGTATTTTATATGTCAATATCACAATGATAAACATGCAATATTATACTAAAAGAACAAAGATATCCACCAGACCTTGATATAGACATCCTAAAAATCTTAAATTGCCTATCATTTCTATTAAAGGTTGAATGTCTGAAATCTGAATATTTTCACACCCAAACTTCTTGCTGCCAACCACATGCTTCCACCTTCTTTTCTCCTCTTCTATCTGCCCCAGTCACAGGAAGGAGCACCTCACCTCTCTTTGTTGCTATGACTTCTACACTCCCCTCTTCCGGTCCTGGTCAGCTCTTGGGATCAGCAGTGGTATCCCCATGAAGCCTCCACACTGGTAGCTCTGGCAGAAGTGAGAGTAGGACTGTCCTACAGATCTCACATTTCTGACAGTGGTGTCCTACCAAGGTGATAATAAAGTTAGCAAGGAAGCATCTTTGCTTCCTTGCTAACTTTCCTGCTAGGGCTACTTTTCCTCTTAACCAGGAGGAACACCCAAGCAAGACCTGCCAAGAGTACATGAATGTAGAGGAAGTGTGTAGAGAGAGAATGTGGGAACTGTGGATAGTGTCAGCATCAGTGGTAATGGTGGTGTTCCCACTGTCATCACAGGACAGAAGGGGTTTAGGTGGGAAAGAAGCCTCTCCTCACACACCTGTTGCACTTCACATTTGCTTTCCTTACTCTCTGTCCCCTCCTCTCAAGATGATTAGGTATACATGTGGTTGTGGGGAGAATGCAGTCATGACTTTAAAATACCCGCAAGAGTGCAGGAATGTATAAGCAATGTAAGCTGGCCATTATATATATAATTATATGCAAGTACAAGTTTCCAAAATGCAAAAAAAAAAAAAATCCAAAAACATCCAAAGTTCTTCTGGTCTCAAGCATTTTGAATCAGAAGTATTTGCCTGTAACATTAGTACAAGGCTACAGCAAGACTGTAGAAAATGACTCATGTTACTAAAGGATTTGCCACTGTGGGCTGGGAGTGACTGTATCTATCAGTCGTCATTAGCTGTTTCATTTAATCGGAAGTGGTAACAAAGCCAAAGGCTCTTTTCATCTGATGAGTAATTGAGAACGATTCTTCTGTTTGAAAGTTTTTGTACTGTTGTTTTTGGCATTATGTTACTGCTGTTTTTATATCATTTGCATTGTTTGCAGTTTAAGCTGGAGAATTTTATGTCAGTAGGGTAGTGAATCCACTCCAAGTTTTGGTCCACATTTTAAAAGAACTCTCCAATGCACTGATATCTGAGCGGCCAAAATGTGCTGATACTTTGTTAGTGAGTAGTTCAGCAATAGTAAGGAAAGAGGCAGCATTTTAATATTAATAAGAATTGAAACTTGCAAAAAAAAAGGTACTAGTAGCCACTGTAAAGATTAGGTGCAACCTCCTTCCATGGTTGTGAGTGACAGGAAGTATACACTTCTTGTGTATTATCATTGCAGAATATTTATCAGCAACTGTACACTATCAGTTTGTTCTTGTTAGGAGTTGAAGCTTAACTGATACAACTTTGTGGTCTGTTGATTAATCTGAACTAAAATCACTGTTATCTGTTGGGCTAAGTACCAGTTTCAGTGTTTCTTTTAAAATCAGTGATTAAACTATTTATGTAATGAAAAACAAAAATGTGAATTGATACAGAGACCCTTGTGTTATATGTATTACTGATGAATGCCAAGTGGGCTGAATGAAAAAAGACTTCTACCAATCAGGACTTGTTTGTGTGTGACCATGTTAGTTTGCAGTGTATCCCCAATATATGGCCACCCTAAGGCAAACCTGTCATAGGATTATTATTATTTTGACAATACCTCATCAGAGTGTGGGTTGCCTTTGCTTTCCTTTGAGGCTGAGAGAGTTGATATACTCAAGTCCACCTACTGTGATTCTGTGACTGGGCAAGGGGTCTGTAGAGCCATAGCTCAATACTCAAACTATGACACCACACAGATTCTGCTTAGGTCTTACCATTTTATGGAGATTGATATTTTAAAGATGATTTTATATGGTTTTAAAATACAGGCAGTCCCAGAGTTACAAACATTTGACTTACAAATTACTCATAGTTAAGGACAGGAACGAGCCAACAGGAATTGGGAGAAAGTTACCCCTCAGAAGGGAAATTCACTTCTGAAGGAGTTAGTATCATGGGAAAAAGGTGTCTCCACTGAAGCTTTCTCGCCAATCCTTGTTTCCACAAAAAGCCAAAATTTTCAAAATCCAGTTATCACAGAAACAGAAAGTAAAGTGAAATTTCTGAAAGAAAGAAGCACAGACATCAAAACAAATGCCACGGGGGTTTTAACCCTTCCCTATGCTATCCAAAGCTAATATATATTTTTGGCTGGAGTTACACTTATAAAATGTCCTGTTCCAACTTGCAAACAAATTTAACTTAAGAACAAACGTACAGAACCTTTCTTGTTCATAGCTTGGGGACTGCCTGTATTGATGCTTTTGTCTGGTAGGATTCTAAACACTTTTATTAGGCTTTAAGTTGTATATCATGTTTTACAGTTGCCCGCAGTGCCATGGGGGAGGAGAGGACTACTGTATTTATTTCATTTATTTATTTACTACATTTATATTCCACCCTTCTCACTCAAAAAGGGGGACTCAGAGCGGCCTTACGAAAAGGCAGCAGTTTAATGCCATTCACATGCATACATACAGTAAAAATAGATATATACATTAAAACCAAAAATCAGCATCAATATTAAAACAATGAGACACTATGGATTTATATTTTATTGATTCTGTTTAGTTTTTATTATATGTAATAATTGTATTTATGATATTGTAAGCATTGACTTTTACCCTTGAGTCGCCCGCGGGCTGAGAAAGGCGGTATACAAATACAGTAAGTAAGCAAATAAATAAATAAATAAATAACAGGCAGGATAAACAGAAGCTGTTTCCAGAATCTTTTTCTGAGCATGATTGAACAGCAAAGGCATGAGTAGAGTAGGGTGTTTCACCAGCTACCCCAAGCATGTTAAAAAGAAAGATAGATTTAAATACTGGCTACAACAATAGAAGCCTTAAGAAAAGTGGAGTCTAGTGAAAGAAAAAGTAATCTCTGGGTGCATTTAGGTAGTCTCAAAAAGATTGAAAATATTTTTGTTTCCTTATACTTTTTAATCAGATCGTTTTATATCACATGTGCATGCTGTTAGTTTTGAATGCAGAGTTTGCTAAAACATGCCCAACGGTTCCCTTTTGTAGGAAGGCATCCCTATTTATTCCATCTTATTTTTATCTCAATTTCCGTTAAAGAAGTAATACCATGGAACATATCTACTTCATTAAGTGAGGTATACCTATACTGTTGAGTCAGTTTTTCCAATTTCTTTCTCCCCCCCCCCCCCCAAAAAAAAATTATAGGAGGAACGCAAAGACTACCTCGTACAGTTGGAGTGTCTCTGGCAAAAGAACTAATATTTTCTGCACGAGTACTTGATGGCGAAGAAGCAAAATCAGTAGGATTGGTTAGTCATGTCGTGGAACAGAATGAAGCTGGGGACGCTGCCTATAGAAGAGCTTTAGCCCTGGCAAGAGAATTTTTACCTCAGGTATAATCCAAATGAAGGGTGCTATTAACCTGCCATATCCTTTGCAGTGAGGAAAATGAATAAATAACCAAGAAAAGAATCGTGAAAGCTAAAAAAAGTGCTCATCACAAGTTATAAACAAAGTTTGTTCTGATTAAATAAGCTAAAAATAGACCCCATATATATTGATTATAAGTAGTGCCTCTTAAGGACAGACTTGTCTCTTGCCCCATGTGACATCTAGATTTTGAATCCATCTGTATTTTGTTGCTGTAACTTTATAATGTTATAATAATGTAAGCTAAAAATAGCCTTTCCATTATTGCTAAAGTTAAACCTTCCAGATATGCCATCTAGGCCTCTCCGTTCACTTCTGGAAGGAGTGAATGGATGAGGCTATCTTGAGAAGATCGCATTTATTGAATTCTCACCATGGTGAATTTTTGTATTTCTTTGCCTCTAGACCTCCCAATTCAATGTTCCAAACAAAAAGCCACAGATTCTCTGCATGAACAAAAAGTATTGAGCAGGCACTTTGTAGTTGGAGACCCAAATTCTAAACACAAGCAGATTCCATTAACTGATGGGATTTGTATGCATGTAAATGTGTTTAGGTATGTAGCTTTATATACTCTTAAAATAAATGTCTTCTGTAAGTGTTTATCATGAATTGTTGATTTGGTTACTACTGATTTAATATTATAAACAATGTGCTTATTTGGGTATTCAGTCACTTTAGATAGAACATGGATGTTGATATTTGGCACAGTTAAATTTATCTACAGCCAACTGTTTCGCTCGGTATGTTTGAGGGATAATCTGGGTTGCTGTGAGTTTTCTGGGCTGTATGGCCATGTTCCAGACGCATTCTCTCCTGATGTTTCGCTCACATCTATGGCAGGCTTCCTCAGAGGTTGTGAGGTCTGTTGGAAACTAGGCAAGTGAGGTTTATATATCTGTGGAATGTCCAGGGTGGGAGAAAGAACACTTGTCTGCTTGTGGTTAGTGTCAATGTTGCAATTGGCCATATTGATTACCATTTTAATGGCCTTGCATTTTCAGAGACTGGCTGGTTGCTGCCCAGGGGATCCTTTGTTGGGAGGTGTTAGCTGGCCCTGATTGATTTTTGTCTCAAATTCCTTCTGGAACAGCCATGCAGCCTGGAAAACTCAAAGCAACCCAGAGATTCTGGCCATGGAAGCATTCGACAACACAGATAACATAATCTATTGTGAACTTCTTTGGCTTGTGTCCAGTTACTCAATTACAGGTACCAAGTCCAACCAATAGTTGTCACAGGGTATAATTAGCAAAATATGTGTGGGCTATTTTCTACTATTTGTTATCTAGTAGAATTTGATGTGTTACTGTTTAATATAAATATATACACAGTATACCATATGAGTGCATTACAAATGAAAGAAATCACTAGCAGAGAGAGGGGATGGTGCAAACCATGCCCAATTTATCACACAGCTGATTTATGGGAATGGACATGTATGAGAAAAAGTATGAAGTTATACACTACAACTTCCCATATCCACAAGCGATGTGTTCCCAGACTTTGCATGAATATGCAAAAGATGGATAATAGTGAACCCTATTGAAGTGAAGAACCTCTGGCCCAGTAATCCCATGGAGTTGCAGTAGAAAAAGCTTAGAGATGACATATTTTGTCAGACATGGATAAATGAAATCATAGGTACCAATACTGCTGATATGGGGGTCATGCTGTATTTTATTTCATAGATAGTTATAAACAGGATATAACTAGAATGAGACTTGTAAGCTAGGATAACATTCTGGTGCTATAATACAATTAATTAGAATAATGTTCACTTTTATATGCCCACCAACCTCCTTCCAGCAGTTCTTATGTGTTAAGAACTTCCACATTTGTTCATGCATGTGGAGATTTTCAAGCATTTACCTGGCTAAAAATTGCCTTATTCTGGTCCTTCGTAGATTTTGAATCAGCATGCTTCCATTAATGCTTTTATAAGTGTAGCTAAATTTCATACAACTGTTCCTTTGTAGCAATAATTTTTAACTGTGGTTCACTACTCACTAGGAGTTTAAAGTCCTGACAGATATCAAGTTCAAATTAACCTTCATCACTTCAGTACAAACTTCTGAACAGAAAAAATAAGGAAATGGCAAATGCTTATATTTGATAAAAAGAGTGTCTTTATAATTGTATCTAACACAGATGAAAAAGTTTAAAATTCTTTGAATAGATTCCTATGTAGTAGTTGCAGCCATAAAGAAAAATGGTGATCAAAGCAGAAACAAGGAAGCCAGAATGGTAGTAACTATCTTGAATACTAAATAGTGCAGGTTGTCTGAAAGTTCTCTCCATTATGCTCTTTAGGGGCCCTGTTCTGAGGCCCCCCATCAAATGAGGTCAGAGGCAGGGAGGTGATAACACCTTAGATATGGTAAAACTGCCTGTGATAGGGTTCAGTTGTGACTACCTTTCTGGTCTCTTTGGTTGAAGAAGGGCTGTTTTATTTGTCCAGGAGTTTTGAACAATTGAGTGTTTTAATAACACTCCAAGAAAAGATATATTACGGGGCAACAATACAAAGTTAGTTATATTAAAAATGATTCTGTCATTTAATAATCTTGCTGTGGCAATCAACAAGCATTTTTGCGATAGTAGCCTTTAATGTTGGAAATTCAGAAGTAGGACACTGTAACACAATTTGGGCCTGCTTGATGTCTTCATATAATTCCCAAATTGAAATCTGATTGTTTTAACTTAACAGTTTTGTCATGCCTTAAATTCTATAACCATATTTTCTGTGTGCCTATAAATAAATTATTAACAGCCAATAAGTTGTTTTCTGTAAGTTCTAATTCAGGTTTTACTTTGTAAATACCTCCAAAGAGTGCACATCTCCTTCCCTCGTTTTCAGTCTTGCATTTTGGAGGAGTATGCATTTCAGTGCTTGTGGGAAGCACTAGTTCAGTGGTTCCCAACCTGTAGTCCATGGACCACCAGTGGTCCGCAAGAACAAAAATATGGTCTGTGGTCTCACCATTACTACACTGTTGCCTTGAAACCACGTGGCAACGAAAGCGATTGGTCTTGCAAAACCTTCTTATAGTGCCGTGCCAATGGGGATGTCAGTAGAAGCTGACTGCCCACGAAAGATTAATATTACCACAATATTACGGTTTTCTGTGGGCGAGCAGATATCGACTACTGGACGGCATATGTTCTGTGTCAGAAAGTAGAGCTGATGTGGTCTATCCAATGCAGTTTTCTGAATCGGCACCCCAAATAACCAAACCGAATCTAAAGTTGACCAAAAACCGATTCGTAACCCTTTTGGTACTAATGTTTGGGAGTGGTCTCTGGTTAAAGTGGTCCCTGGTCAAAAAAAGGCTGGGAACCACTGCACTAGTCAAAGAACACGCATAAGTATATATAAATATTTTTGCAGAAAATACATTCAATCTGCTGGACTATTCAAACTGTTTTTATGGTCAGCATGCAAAAATTCTGTTTAAAGATTAAAGCCTAAAATCTTCCTCCCGAATACATTTGTGTTTCATGGTCTTTTCCCAGATAGAAGTGTTGCTTCTGTGTTGATAAATAGCACAATCAGATATTATGTTACAATGGAACATATATCTTTTAACATTTTAAATCACAAATCTTTTTTTTGATTTAAATTTATCACAGAACTGAATTACAAAACTTACATTTTTTATTTTAGGGACCAGTAGCAATGAGAGTTGCAAAATTGGCCATCAATCAAGGAATGGAAGTAAGAAAACCTGTTTTTCCTGCTATCTCAACACATTATTTAAAGAAAAAAGTACAATGTGGGTTTTATCAAATTCTGTAAAGCAGAGGCTGTGAGAATGATTTAAAGCTAGAGGAGCGGGAGGCGGGTGTTATGGGTTCTGAATCTTGCCTCTGAAATTGCTTCTCTCTAACCATTGTTGCCTTCTTGGTCTTGCTTCATGTCTCAGAGCACCACTGTGGCAAGCATTGGCTAGAAAGAAATGTTATTTTAGGGTTGAAGTCCATTTTGTGCTGTTTTCCAGTTTTTACAATGTTAATTGTTTTTCATCTTTTGTTTCACAGGTTGATCTTCTAACAGGTTTAGCAATTGAAGAGGCATGTTATGCTCAGGTATGTAATTCAAATTTGCCTCTTCAGAAATACACCCCCCCCCCCCGAGTATAATCTGTGATGTTTATTTTGATTTCTATATCCTGAATATTAAACTAGTTGGCACTATTTTTAGCGCATGAGTTTGCTAGCAGCGTCTAGAGATTTGTCTTTTGAGAATTTAATATTTTTATGAGAAAGAATTTGCTCTTGTATTATGCTTCATCCCTTTAGGACTTTTCTAGTGAAATAAATAGGAAATATTCCATGATTAGATAGGATGCTTAATAGGGTCTTTGAGAATGCAGCAGTATTGCTAAAGCCCAAAAACCTTATTCTAATAGCATCTCAGAAGATATGAGGAGACACACAGTTCTTAAGGATCTTGGGATTCTGTAAAATTGTCCAACATTCAGTATATCTCATCCCTGCCTCCAGGTACTTAAGGGGCAGAAAACAAGGAAAGTGTGGGAGAAAGATCCAGCTTTCTTTGTAGTCTGATGGTACCATTAGCTTGGAATGGCCTTGAGCTTCAAACAAGCTAATTGGGGCATGTGCTGAATTAAGTTTACATTAGCTTACTTTATGCAACCACATTTAAAAATGAGCCTGAAAATGTTCACTCATTACTAGTCAGGTGCTGTCTGCCTTTACTTGGTTAAAAATGCTAGGTTGAAGAAGAGACAAAAGCTGCCTAATCTGCTTACTTTTGACAAAATAAACAAGTTATTGTGTAAGTTCTTATTTATTTCACTCAAATGGGACTCAAAGCAGTTATATTTATCCCCATGGAGATGGTCTCAGTGCAAGAAGGAGCAATGTATATGAAACTGTTTTCAGAGTTATTGTCCTTCCAGTGACACACAGCAAAACTTTGAGTACAGGGGAGTATGACTGATTTATAGCAGCTGCGTAGCAGTTTATAATCATGGCTCAATGTAGTGTTTCCGAGCTTGCTTTCTGTAAATTACTCTTGCAATGTAACAACTCCAGAGAGTCTTCGTTTGCATGGAATTGTGACTGACTTGTAATGTGGGCACTGAAAATGATTTTCTTTATTTTAGACTATTCCAACAAAAGACAGAATTGAAGGCCTTCTTGCTTTTAAAGAAAAAAGACCCCCTCGCTATAAGGGAGAGTAGAGGGGTGGAAACCAGATGCCTTTTAAAATGCAAATGAAATTGACATACTGCTGGAAGGAATTCCAGCTGTCTTTTTGCCTCACAATATGGAATATTGCAACCATGAAAGTAAATGTAATTTCCCATACTTTTATCTCGGTAATGTACTTAAATATGTATTTAGCCTTACAGATTCTGAAGGCTTCTTTGTGTATTTGCAAAGTCATTGGTCTGTTCAGCACTTTATTCCATATATTTGAATTTGCATACCTTGTCCATTAAATACATAAATGCATCATATACACAAAACCAAAAGTGACCATTAAGTGTCTACGTCTTCTGCTCCTGCGATAAAATAATTTAATTTTGCACACAAAAAATGTGACATGTACTACATAGAGTTTCTAAATGAATCATGTTTCTTCTAATGGTGAATGTATAAATTTAATAATAAAGGTAGCTGAATTGAGAAGAGTGAGTGATGAAGAATTCATATTAGTTCTAATGATACATACAATTAACCTGAAAACTGTTGCAGTGTGGTGTTTCATCTTGACATATTGTTCCCAGCTAGGACAAAATGACTCCTGCCCAACCATCACCTGGAGGATCACCATCAGGGAGAATTTCTAATAGTGGTGTAGATGGTCCAATAGTCTGATCCAGTATAAGTCATGTGCTCTTCCATCATCCTGAAGATATACAGTGTTAGAGCCCATCTAAGACCCTCTGTGACAGCTGCATGACGCACATAGCTGACTTGGGCTAATGTGGCCTTGAACTGTGTTAACAGAAGTTGTAGGACACTCCAGAGCTTCCCTGAAGCTTCCCTATGTTTTGGGTGAGTGCAAACAGTTACGCTATGCAAGAAAATAGCAGTATGTTTTGCTCATTGGTTGGAATGATGCTAGCTGGAGCAATGAGGCAATCAAGGGACGGGGGAAGAAGGGAGTGACAGTGGTAAGTGGCCTTGAAATGATATTGTTCAAAGGCTATAATATGCATATATACACCCTATGTACTGCAGTGTACATTTTAAGATTGTTCTTTGGTGCTTTAAAAGACACTGCTGTCTTTGTTCTTGCTAATTGAGCCATGTCTCCACAGGCATTTGTGCAAAGGGTTATAGAATTGTCTTATGCAGCAAATGTCTTTTCATTTCTTATAATTATAGCATGCTTGTCTGAAAAGTTTCGCAAGTGTTCTTTTCGGTAATACTGGTAGGAGATTAAGTAAGAGCTTCTCGCTCATATTATTGCTCAACAACTTCAAACACCATTGTTATGGGCTTAGATTGGCTGTGCCATGCATTCCTTTGGCTGTCTTTGTTCCTTTGACCTTTATACTCGTTTGGCTCATCAAGCGATCTTGTAAAAATGCATGTGTTTTCTCCCGCACAAAAATGCCAGGAACCACTTGACTTGCATTTTGATTCCAGCTTTAATAGGAGGCATTCATAATCAACACCAGGAGTTTATCTGAGCAAGCTTGGCCATGATTATGTTTACTGTATCAGAAAGCAAGAACTTCAGAGCTGCTTCTTGAAACTCAAAAAGAAGACAAGTGTGTCTTCCTTGATCTCGAGCTTAATAAGAGTTGGCAAGAGCTGCCGATCACATGGGTTCATTCCTGTCTTAGGAAAGGTCAGCATATGGTACAAACACTTCTTCTGTATTATGTAGCCTTGTACTCTGATCACATAACACATGTTTCAGAATACATTATGCAATGTTATGCGTCTGATTAATGACTGCTTACACAAGAAGTTTTTCATTAGCCCAAATCTTCCTGTTCTGGGAATGATTAACTTTGTGACATAACTCTCATCACATAAATATGAAAGACTCCAACTTAACTTCAAACTCATGTTTCAGGAATAACTGAACAATCTCTACGTGATTAACAAATGGCTTCAGCTTCAGAGTTGAAAACAGATCTCCGCATTTGAGAAAAGATTAAAGATGACTTACTGTTTTGTGGTCAAAGTGTCAGCCATGGTTAATTTTCAGAAATAGTGACAGCAATTCATTTAGCACTTCCTGTGACTCCCAACCATATAAGGATTTACAAGTGGTAAATCTGTTGCCATTTTTTCTCTTAAAAAGTCAACTGTTCTTTGCTCAACAATGATAGTTCAGAATTTTCATCTGGAATTCACTATTCAAATATCTTTTCTTTGCTGAAAATGTATTGTGCCTTTTTCCAAAAAGTAGGACTCAAGGCAGCTAAAAATAATGGAGGAGGAAGAGAGGAAGAAAGGAAAATCAACTATTAAAAGATAATTAAATTAAAAGCCCTTTTAAAAATATCTCACCAAGACATAACTGGTAACAAGTCAGCAGCTGGCCAGTGGCCAAAGAATTAGCTAAATAAAAATAGGTCTTTATCTGCTGATGGAAGAACAAAAGGAAACGATCCAGGTTAGACATACCCAGCCAGGAGTTCTAGGCTGGACATCCTATTAATGGAATACTAAGGTATAATTCAACCTGAAACCGCATGTGTTGTTATCTCCCCCTTCCCTCCACATAAAGCTGCTGTAATCATTTCATGTCTGGCTCTGGGGACATAGATGCTTTTCCAGTTTACCTATCCATTAATCACCAGACAGAGAACATTTATGGGAAGGCAGCACAGTGGTTCTTCAGGAGGTACAGTGTATGCAAAGGGATCTTGTAGCACTCTAGAGGCTGAGAGAATGAAGTTGATAGCATAAGCTTTTATAAAAGTCTCCTCAGATGCTGTAGCGTAGTTGTACATGAGAAACTCCTATGCTACACTGAGCAATATAAGATTCATCCTCTGTTGTCTAAGCAATCACTGTGAAAGCCCTCCCTCATATCCCCACCAAACGCAATCCTGAATGTGGTCAAACCTAAAGAGAGGACTGAGAAAGTAGGCATGAGAGAAGATAGGCTACCTGACAGCCTGCACCCAAACTATGTAGCACTTTGCAATCAGTACTTCGAATTGCACTTAGAAATCATTATAGAGTTTTTAATTTTGTGTTGTTTTAAATTGTTGCTTCAAACAGGAGTTGGTAAAGGTACAGAGGTCAGTCCCCAACCCCTGGATCTTTTAGTAAGACACACAAATCCCAAAATCAGAAATGGTTAGATGTCTACTTTCAGATTTATAAAGCTCCTTATTAGTTTTGGGGAATAAAACAAGGCGTGCGGGAGAATCACTACTGGAGCTATTTATAGTTGTGAATATTTATTTATTTATTATTTATTTATTTACTTTGCTTATATACCGCTGTTCTCAGCCCGGGGGCGACTCACAGCGGTGTACAACATAGGAAGAACAAGGTTCAAAATTCAAGACATAGTATAAAATAATCCACAATCCAGCATTAAACAAAAAACATTATCATCAAAAAACATCATCATTACTATGAAAGCCATTCCGCGTCGTCTCATCGTCCAAACCACAATCCAGTATCATTTTCCGTTGTTCCATTCCTATAGTCATTACCAATCATTGCACTTCTTGTTCGAACGCCTTCTTGAACAACCAAGTCTTTAATTTCCTGCAGAATATCATCAGGGAAGGAGCCAGTCTGATATCCACGGGAAGGGTGTGTTATACCTTAAAGAGCTAAGAAAAGCATGTAAATATTAAATAACTAAAATTAAAAGCAAAAGGTTCAGTTATTCTGTGCTGAGAATGGTTCTTTACATCTGATTTTAATTTTTGGTGAAACAGTAAATGCAGTGCCTTAGGGCCCTTCCAGATGCCCTTTATCCCAGGATTTTATCCCAGGTTTTCTGCTTTAAACTGGATTATCTAAGTCTGCACTGCCAGGTAATCTGGGTAAACAAAATCTGGGATCAGATCCTGGGATATAGAGCCTGTCTGGAAGGGCTCTTATTTATACAGATGGCACTAGCTGAGGTGTTAGTGCAGAAACAGATAGGCACACACTGAAGAGCAGTTCATATGCACCCATGTTTCATTTTATATCCTGATTTCTCTCAAGATAGGCTTGTGTGCATTTCCTACTTATGGCAGCTTCAAGACATCTACGAGGGTTATCAGGAAAGTAAGATTACAAGTCACGTAGTTCTCGTGGGGAACTTTCTTGGGGAAAAATTGTATCATTGCCACGTAGTGAGAAGCCAGTGGAAGTGAAAGAGCAGTGTCAGTTGTCAGTAGCTCATCAACTGGTATTGTGGTGAAGGTTAGAGATGAGTGTCCTCATTCCGTTTCCGTGCAAAGTCCATGCTATAATACGCTATCTAAATGCTAAGGGCATGTACGCCGCTGCAATTAATCGTGAAATCATTTCACTTTATAGAGAGGACATAATGTTAAAACAGCATGTGACAAAATGGGTACAGAATATATTGTGAGACCATGAAGAAACTTCACAGAGCCATTCAAAACAAATGTCGTGGGATGCACGCCTGCACACCACTCATGCAACACAAGAGTTGTTGACTTCGTTTGGTAGGGATGTTTTAAGCCAGCCCTCTCACAGCCCTGATCTCTCATCCAGTGACTATCATTTGTTCACTAAATCGAAGAAACACCTGGTGGAAAACATTTCCAATGACGATGAGGTGAAAATCAAAGTGATGAACTGGCTGAAAAAGGTGGAGGGAAACTTCTATAACACAGGCATCAAAAACTCGTCCTACGGATGACAGAATGTATTGAACTGAATGGTGATTAGGTAGAAAAATATTGTAATGACTATGCATGTAAGTTTTCTTAAAATATATTCAATCTTTGTATTTTTTAAAAAAATCTTCTAATCTTACTTTCTGGACAAGCCTCATATCACATGTGCCTTCCCAGATTAGGAAATCTCCACTACCAAGTCCCATAAGCACTTTACTAGAACCAATGATTGCTGCACATAGCACACTGCACTTGCCCTAGAAGCCTCATATTCACCCCTGTCACATCAGCACTTTTAATTTTGTACCCATTACTCTGGCCTGGCCCAGTTCTATTGTGTTTTAGTGTATTGCCTGTTGTTCATTTTGCTTTATTTTGTTTTAATTGTTTGATTTGCTTAGATTGTATTTTTATATTGTGTGTTGAGGCCTCGGCCTGTGTAAGCCACATCGAGTCCTTCGGGAGATGCTAGCGGGGTACAAATAAAGTTTAATAATAAAATAATAATAATAATAATAATAATAATAATAATAATAATAATGGTTTTCTGTTCAAGATTTGTTCAGTGGGGCTTGCTTTTGCCTCCCTTTGAAACAGTATAACTTGCCCAAAGCCAACCAATGGGTTTCAAATCTTATTTTCCAGGACCATAGTCTGCTGCTGAAACCACTAGAACATGCTGACTCTCAATCTCAAGAACTGACTGAAAAAAATCAAAAAATCAAAATAAGCAAGTAGAGTCTTGCTTATCCAACATAAACGGGCCGGCAGAACGTTGGATAAGCAAAAATGTTGGATAATGTTTATACTGGCTATGGATGCTGGGATGTGCAATCCAAGAAAAGT